ATTCCTGCTAGATGGTATCAACTTCATTTTAGACATGACCAATCAATGCCCCTGGACCATTCACTGGTGAACTGAGTGGCTTTGAAGTGTCAGAAGCTGGCTGTTCCTGGAAGTTTCGATTTCATTTGTGAATTTTTATCATGCCCTTCCCCAAAAGAGTTTAGGATGGTGTGCATTGTTCTTTCCCCTCTTCCTTTATCTTCACAACAGCATCTTAAGGTAGACAGAAGGACTGGCCCAAGGTCACACAGCAAACAGCTTGGCAGAATGGGGATTTAAACCTGGGACTCCCAGCTCTTAGTCCAACACTCTAACCACTGTGCCATGCTGACTGTTGAATAATTCTGTAAAAAACTAAGTAAAGGCAACTCATATCACATGAAGCCCACGTAAATACACTCAAAACGGACTTATTTGCATATGATTAGCTATAACCGATGGCTTATAGGTTTCACTCTGACGGGCCTTTTTGTTAATGAGAATCCTACTACAATAATGTCCTGCGTAACCAGGACAAAGACATTTTGAGGGGGGGAAATCCAACTAACTTTTTCAAGTACAAGAATAATTTGTTTTGTTTTGGCACTCTGTAAAGCATCCTACATAATGCCAAACAACAAGTAATGTTGATTTTATACACACACACACATACATAATAAGACTGTAATCCTAAGAGTTTCTAAAGTCATGGTTGTAGTTCTAACATATATGTCTCACTGACATTTCAGAGCTTAACTTTAGCTGTTGTTTTTCCTGTCCACTGAATTTGTATTTGCTTCTGAAGTACTGACCCTCAAAATGGAGATCTACACAGTCAGCATCAGCATGGCATTGTCCATTGTCTTGCAAACATCGGTTCACTCGGAGCTGTTTCACTTCGCAGTCGATTCCATCGCCAATGTAGTTATCTTTGCATTCACACTTGCGTTTACCCTAGGAGGGAGATTATCAATACAATGAAATATCCCAAGCCAACAGAGGGCGATTCTGCATCTGGCATTCGCTCCACGTTTTCTCAACACCAGGGAAAAGGTGCAGTTCAAAACCACATTCAAATACCCCGGTGCAACACCGTACTGACTGCAAAGCCACCCCTGAACGGCCATAAATCTATGCAGAAGGTACCATAAAATCCAATATCAAAGAAAGTGAAAGCAGCATGCAGTGCAGAAGGGAATGTCTGTTCCAAGGTGGGTTTGGTAAAACAATGGCGGGAAAAGCCAATGCAGAATCGCCAAGAGATGCAAATATCCAGCTGTTATCCTAAATTTTCCTTTTCACTTCTAACCCCTGCGGATACTGGGAAGCCCTTAAAATACAATTACAGTGGGTACATTCCAAGAACTCTCTCCATTTTCAAGCATAACCTGTTATAACCACCGAGTAACTGCAGAGCAGGACCGCCGGGTTGGGCCGACTGGCCATCTGGAACATCTTGCCCATGGCATCCCCCCTCTTGATCCCACCGCGATATACAATAGGGAGTGAGTATTTTAGTTCCTAATGCATCCTGCAAGATGTGAGTTTTGTTTTAATTGTTTTAACTTGTCCTATTTTTATTGCACTTGGTGCCTTAACTGTTTTAATCCTGTTGTATTTTATTGCACAGTTGTGCCTATGTAAGCCGCCCTGAGCCTGCTTGCGGGGAGGGCGGGGTATAAGTGAAATAAAATAAATAATAAATAAATAATATAAGGCTAGTCTGTGAGGGTGGGGACATGCATTGAAATCCTGGAAAGACAGATCTATATATTGTCCAAACTGTCAGCAGGAGCTGTCTGCCTGGAATTGCTCAAAGAAAGAGATCAACAGAAATGGACCTTCCCTGTCAGAGAAGGTGATGGTGGGGCTGTTGGCAGGTACAAAAACGTAGGAAGTGGCATGTAGTTGCCAGCTCTGGGTTGGGGAATACCTGGAGATTTTAGGGGTGGAACCTGGGGGGGCTGAGGACCTCAGCAGGACATAATGCCATACAGTCCACCCTCCAAAGCAGCCATTTTCTCCAGGGGAACTGATCTTGGTCACCTGGAGATCAAGTACAATAGCAGGAGATCTCCAGGTGTAACCTGGAGGTTTGACAACCCTGCATGCTGAGCATGTGTGGACCATAAGAAATGAGGCTGAAGAAGAGATAAAGAGATACCATATGAATGCTGTAAATGCTTCAGCATCGTTATTGTCAATGACATCTTGTCAACTCAAAGAGGCAATGGAAATGTTTGAGGTTAGGTTACTTCACATGGTCCAGTTTTTCAAAATGTTATTTATTCATTTAAGATATTTATCTCCTGCCTTGTCTCCTTAGGCTTTTGTCTATACAACAGTGCAAGGAACTTTTTAGTGTTGGCTTTTCTGTGTTGCTGAAAGATCTTTCTCCCCACAAAAAGCAGAATTGAAGCAAAGGGTTAATATAACTTCCCCTTAAAATTCTAACAATGCTTGTCCTCAAGGGCAAGATTCTCCTGTTTGTCTACTCAGAAGTAAATCTCTTTCAGCAAGCGTTGCTCTCTGTTCATTTTTTCCTTGCTTTGTTTTTGACCTCATTAACATAAGAACATAAGAAGAGCCCTGCTGGATCAGACCATTGGTCCATCTAGTCCAGCATCCTGTCTGGATCCTCTGGATGGCCAACAACAGACCTTCCCCTGATGTGTCTCCTGTCTCTGGGATTCAGAGGTTGAGTGCCTCTGAATGTTGAGGTTTCCCTCAGTCACCAATCAATGTTCCCTCTAAGCTGTGGAGTCTCGTAAGCAAAAAATCTACTTTGTGAGCTACTGGCATTAAAGCTGTGAGCGAGCGATTTGGCTACTCCATAAATTAGTCTGCTCTGGAGCCATCCTTCCTGAGTTAAGGCAGAAATGTGTGAGCCAGAGGCTAAAAACCTGTGAGCTAGCTCACACTACCTCAGCTTAGAGGGAACACTGGTCACCATGGCTAGTAGCCACTGATAGACTTATCCACCATGAATCTATCTAATCCCCCTTTAAAGCTGTTTGTTCCTGTGGCCATCACTACATCCTCTGGCAGCAAATTCCACATTTTAATATCTCTCTGTGTAGAGCAGTATTTCCTTTTGTCCGTCCTGAACCTACTGCCCATCAGTATTATTGTCTCTTGGTTGCCTGGTTGTCTTTCCTCGGCACTCATGTAAAAATGGTTAATTAGCAGGTTGCTGGGGGCAGGGCAGAGCTTAAGTGCTTCATTTTTTACTTTGTAATGAGCCATAATTACTGCTCATATTTTTGTTGTACTGTTTATCAGAATGCGATTAAAAATTGTTACTGTTGTTTTGTTTTTAACAAATAAGCGACTTGGCTTTCTAAGAAGTAAAAAACAAAACAAAACTTGACCCTTTCCTCCTCTTGACAAGATGTAATAAGTCACTATGAATATTATGGAAGAAACGCTGCTGAGAGAACAGGAAATGACGGATGAAGTTGGAAAGAGAAGGATGAAACAGAATTGTAAAGGACATTTCAATAGTGCTTTGCAAGTCCACATGGGACATACTGGCTCTGTACATTGCACTTTATTTTAAAAATTGCCACAAATCAGGTCTGCAAAAACACAGAAAATACTGGAATGATCAGACTGATCATGGTATCCTTTGGATTGTCCATTACAAATAAGTGGGGGGAAAAGTCATGGCAATTCCAAATTGTATGGTTAGAGTGAAACCAGCTTTCGAGGGCAGGGAAGATTGTTGTATAGACCATGTTAAGTCTCTTCTACAGATGGAATTGAACCTAAGCAATCAATCTGCCCTGCAATTCTCCTTCCGCCCAACAGGGTCACAGCGTAACACTATACAACACTGGTTCAGTCTAAGCCCAATGACATCAGTAAAATTGCACGGTTGCAGTCACATTTGCTGGGTTATTACTGGGCATGCCATCATGAGTATTTTCAGTTTCTACAGTAGGCATAAACACACACACAGGGCTTTCCTGTCCACACAACAGAAAGGCAGTGCTCATCAGTACAGGCAGGATAGTGTGTGTGTGCAATACTTTTATCCTTTCCTAGAATACTTAATGGACTCTCACTTTAGTACCAGAATGCTCAAATGTCAGTGAAGGCAGACACCATCTGGGCGAGGCCCCCTAAAGTGCAGGGGCTACAGCCAGTAACACTTACAGGCCCTGTTTTTGTACAAATTGCATGTTCGTGGCAACCACCATTGAACCCATCTGTACAAGAGTTGATAGCCGTGCAGATGCGGCCATCTCCTTTATATCCTTTTTGACACGTGCAATTGACTTTCACGCCAGATTGTGAACATCTTGCATTCTTATGACAGCCACCATTGGATATCTTACAGAGGTTCATAGCTATAAAGGAAAAAGAGAAATAAATGATTTTGTCCTGGCATGCTCTTCACAAGAAAGCCTGACAATTCTTTATTTAGAACAAAGTTTGAGTCCGGTGGCACCTTTAAGACCACCAAGTTTAATTCTGGGTATAAGCTTTTGTGCGCATGTGCACTTCTTCAGATACATTGAAACAGATTTCCTCAAACCTTATATATAGGCACATGAAAGCATATACCCAGAATTAAACTTAAAGGTGCCACTGGACTCAAACTTTGTTCTGTTGCTTCAGACCAAAATGGCTACCCACGTAATTCTTCATATAGTAATGTATTACAAAATGAGACATAAAGACCATGATCTAGGGGAACCTGACTTGATCAGCATTTGCAATAGTCAGACCGCAAACTATTCTACATTGCAAAGTATTTTGAAAATCAAGGGAGTTTCAGGATCAACTTGTCATGTAGCTTCCGTGTGTGCGTGCGTGCATGTGTACAGACAGAAAGAAGGTATACTGTCTATGCAAATCCTTGTTTAGAGAGACTCAGAGAATTACCAAGACCAAAACAACTTTGCTGAATCTGAAAAACAGCCTATCCTATCCAACACTTTCTCCAAAGATGTGCTTGAGCTCTGTAGGTCTGGGCCTAGTCAGTATCTTGATGGGAGATCTTCTGGAAACCTTTTATATACTGCCTCTAGGGTTGCCAAATTTAAAAATCCTACTGGCGGGGGAGCGTCCTGCTGCTCCGGGAGCCGGTCGGGAACGTGCGCGCGCGCTGCCGGAGCGTCACCGGAAGTGACGTCACACGCTGGGCGGGGCCACGCCATTTGAGGGGAAAACAAAGAGTTTTCCCCTCAAATGGCAGCCACTCTTTGTTTTCCCCTCAAATGGCGTGGCCCCGCCCCCAGCGTGCGACGTCACTTCCGGTGACGCGCACGCCGGGGAGGGGTTTCCCCCGGGCCCCGATTCCCCGGCGTCGGGGAACGGAGCCTCCGGGGCGGGGGATTTCCGCCCTAACGGGGGAGTTGGGAGCCCAGTCTGCCTCAAGTTCCATCATGGATGAAATGTAGGATATAAATGTAATAAATAATAATAAAGTAGACTGGAAAGCTCAGAAGCAACCCTGCTCCTAAACACAGAGGTTCTTTCATTAGCCATTATGGACAAAAGCCACTGAGTTTAGTCGTCCATGAATTTGTCTAATTCTTATCTCCATTAAAGTGAGGTTTTATTACCCAATAGAGAATATGAAATGCAATCTTTGGACCTTGGAACACTTAAGCAAGATATAAACATTTGGCTATCCCACTACAAAAACAATCAACAGTGTAATTATTTTTGGCAGTTATATACTTCCAAATGCAATATGTGGGGTTCTTTTGTACAACATATAACAGGTCCCAATCACACGCGGAATTAGCCACGTGATAGGCACAAATGCCAGGCGGATTTAAAGGGCACGATCAAACGCAAACATCTGCCCAGCGTCCCGCACCCGTCGGCAACTCGTTTTGCTCCGCTGCAGAAGCGGAGTAAAAAGACAATGGGGAAAGTCCAGTAGCAAACAGGTTGCTATGGGCCACAGATGGACTTTCCCCTGTGTGATCACTCCAGTGCTCTCTCATGGCGTCGGGATGGTCTGATCAAGCAATCCCGACTCCGTGCCGTTGTCCCCCCCCCCCTCAGTACGTGCATCATCACATACTGCCATAGGAAGCCCTCAGTGTGGAGATGCGATTCATTGATCCTCCGTTTAAACAAATCAAAAACAAATGGCAAAAAAAAATCTGACTCAACCGCGATTGCCGGGGTAAATAGCCTTGCTTCCCCCGCGCGTTATCTCACACGTGTGACCGCAACCACAGTCCAGTTTCTTTTTAACCTCACTGATACCATACTACAGCATGATTTTGTGACATTTATAGATACTTTCATCCAGGGTCATTTTACTGAAGAACCATTTATGAGGGCTGAGGGAGATTAAAAATATCCATATTTCATGTTTCTTCCCCAATGATTTTTTTTCAAGTGTCTGTAAAGGATTTACCTGTACAAGTGATTCCATCTCCAATATAAAATAGTTTACACTGACAGATGTTTTGGGCCTTGCACACAGCATTAATGGAACAGCTGGGTGAACACACTGGCGCCACATCTGTGAAAAACATTAACACAACTATTTGTGCATTTAAAAACCTCTCAAGAGGGGTGCGTGTTCCATAAATCTGGGGCCACCACAGAGTGAAAGGGTCCAAGCAGTGAATGGCTGTACAACTTGGAGGGAGGGATTAACCAGGCAACAGCTCAAGGAGATTCTGAGGTGACAGCATAGATTCCTAATGGGAGAGATGGTCCTTCAATGTATTTTACTGAGGTAAATTAGTCATAAGCTGTTTATGGCAAGTTGAAAACAATAACTTAAAGTTATTGTTACTGCTAAATCGACTGACCTAATTTGGTTTCACAGAACTTTCCTGTCCATCCAGTTTCACAGATGCACAGTCCTGATCCAGAAATTCCTTCATCACACTGTCCGTTCTCCGTGCACTGACAGACTGTAAACACAATGGTTGGATTATTAGGAGAACAATAATTATTTATTCACTTAAAACATTTACACTCTGTTTCATAGCAATGCTCTCAAGGCAGCTTCCACAGAAGAACCGAAACAATAAACAGCATTATAAATATAAAAATATGCAGACCTACTTAAAACTAGAAGCCCAGCCCACAAAAGTCATTGAAAGCAACTATTTTTTTTTAAAAAAAGTTCATGAACTTTTCACTAACTATAAAACTTAAATACTTACAACAGAGAACTAATAAAGGGCTTTCCCGCACCAGTGGTTTTCATTGGTGGATATCGCCAAATGCCTCAATTTTTATTTTCGCATGTGTTTCCTCTGTTTAGTGCTAGCTTCAATTTCTCCTTGCTTTTTCTAATTTTTCAGGGAGCACTTTTACAGTGATCTTTTTTCAAGCTATTTCAAAGATGTCTTTCACTCCATGTGCTTAAATACTCCATCCACTTTTCCCCCTTCCAACCCTAGAAATATACATCCTTAATCCACACCCTCTCCTCCTGCTCCTTTTTCACCCTTCCTTCCCTTCACTAGTCATCATTTTAATTTAAAAATATTTTTTAATTGAAGCACTAGCAATAAATCGCTAAATTAAACATTAGCGTTTAAACGCTGAAGGTAAACCACCTCAGATGGTGCAGTGTGTGTGGGGTATTTCTGCAGATGTATCTTCACAGGGGTACTTTTGTGATGGTGGTGGAGCAGAATACAATTGGCAATTTTTGTCCTTCAACCATGCGTTTTCCAAGTGTTTCATAAGGGAAAAGTAAAGCAAATTAATAGGAACGACATAAACTAATATGAGTAATTTCCTGTTTGTGTTACTGGATTTCTCCGCAACTGTATGTACTGAAGTAGAGTACTCTTCCTCAAGCTTTCCCCTTCTTTCCACTCATGTTACATTTCCCTTTTAAAAAAATCAATGTACTTGAAGTAGCGATAGGGCACTAAGGAAAAGGACAATAAAAGAAACAATAGAGTACTAGGGATTTTCAGAGTGGCATTCAATCATATGGCTGTTCAGCATGGTTTCATTTTGTGTTTGTGTGTGTTTACTCTTACCCCATATTTTCCCTCTCCTACAGCAACTGGCACCTCCTAATGATTTTTGGGGGGGCATTTTGGCTGTCTCTGGACACCTACATCAAAATGGTGCTTGAGCCACATGAACTTTCTGCCAATCTTCAAATGGAGAATTGCCTCATAGGTCACCCTAAGCCAATCACAGGGTGTTCAACAGAATCATTCTGTCTACAGGCATACATGCCCAGCAATCTGGCGAAAGGCGCCATTATTTCAATTGTGATTCTCTGGTTTGCTTTGGTGATTTTTTGATGATGGCAGCAAACAGCAAAGCAAATGGCGGTCACAGAGTCTCCTGTCATCAAAAGGAGACATTGGATCGCCTCTCCTTCTGGGGTGAATAGAAGGTGCAGGAGGCTTTGGACAATTTCCATTGATATACAGCCATTTTTCAGAGCAACGTGATAAGTATCACATATAGCAGGCATACATGGATTGAAAATTATATTCCTTAAATAGAATTTACTGGACAGCATGATATTTGCATCTCCCCTACCTAAAAAGATCACTAATGGGCCTTTATGGAGGGCTTTTTTCTTCTCCCCACCAATTTCGCAATGTAAGATCTCTGGCGTACAAAAATGCTTAGGGGCCATCCAGAGTGGACTTGCACTGAGAAGGGTGTGTGTGTCTGGGCATTGTGCAAGTTTTTGCCTATAATGATAGTTCAAGTAATTTTACACAATCTTTGCTTTGTTGATACAACGAACTAACATTTAGAGTGTCCAGTTGCAGAGTTGTCTCCAGCAAGACAACTGGCAAATGCTAGAAGCCAGAGAAGGCTTTTTGCTGTTCTTAGTGATGCTGCACACTAGCATCATTTGCCAGCACCAATGTGCCAGCAATGAAGCTAGAACCAGCAGACACCATGATGAGATCCTTGCAGAGGACAGAAGACTTCATGACAAACTAATGGCCAAAGTGAAACACAGGTATGACCTGATGTTGGAAAAAAATAGACTGGAAAGGAAGGCCTTGCAGGAGATCATGCAGAAGAACATGGATGTGATGCTTCTCACAGTCAATGCCCTCAAATCTGTGGGTGAAATAATGCTGTCAGGGCAACAGGAAGGGCCTTCTAAGAGGAAATGGCTATGTGACATCTCCCAAGGTCGGGGGTGGGGTGGAAACTCTGCACATTTTCAGTGCCAGAAACCTTCCTGGTACATTTCCTGTTGTAGTGCAATGTTTATTTTTCTTTTTCTGAAATCCCCGGAGGGATATTTTTATTATTTTTTATAAGACTAGAAAAACTACAAAGAAAATATGAGGGAAGGGGACTACATCTATGGATAAAGGAAAGATAACCACACTAAACTAAAAACCCAAGAGGAGGAGATCATATCCGTGTTAAGCTAAGTGCTACTGATTAAAGTGTTAGTATAACAATATACTTGTAGAGTTCTTGTTTATCTCAGCTTCAATGTTAGTTGTTATGAGAGAACTTTCTGAGCATCTTCGTTACTTCAAAAGGCAATTTTCAGAGTCCTTCTGCCTTTACTTTGGTTTTCTATCTCTGAAATCATATGTAACTTTCGTTGTTCCCACACCCGTTTCTACAGCAGAGTCCTCATCCATTCCAGAGGTAGCAGAGTCACTTGATTTGGATTCTTCATCTTTGGATTCTTCCTCCAATCCCAACTGTCGTCTCAAGAATTCCTTGGCTTTAAAAATGGAGTCAATCTTTTCTCTTTTGTCATTGATTTTAAAGATGACACCCTCAGGGATCGCCCACCTGTACGAAATTTCATTAGTTTGAAGAAAAGAAATTAAGTCCTTATAGCTTTTCCTCTTTTGACGAATTTCAAATGGAACGTCTTTTAAAGTCTTGATGATTGTATTCCCCAGTTTCAGTGGAGTTGCTGAAGTCACTTTTAAAATAGCATCTCTGGCCTGTCTTCTTGAGAATCTGACCACAATTTCTCCAGGGAGGCTATTTTTTTTAAATTTAATTGGAGTAAGCCCTATAGGCAGTCTCCATGTCTTTTACTATTTCATCTGCTGTTAAGCCTATTGCTGGAGCGATAATCTCGCTGAGTATCTTCCTCAGATCTTCCTTTTCCGATTCAGGAACTCCCTGGAATCTGAGAATCATATTGGCTTTTTCCATTTGTAGCTGTAACAAATGGTTTTCTTTGAAGTTTTGTTTTGTTTCAACTTTCCCCATTCTTTTCTTCATTTTCTTGTTTGTGGTGTCTATCTCTTTAATTCTCTCAGTCGCATGCTCCACCTTCTTCTCCATTTCTTCCAGCTGGCGCTGCTGTAATGTGAAGTTTTGATTCATCAAAGTCAGTTGCTGGTTAATACCATTGAGTTGCTCCATCATCGGTTTAAGCATATGCGCTAGCATTTTCATGACATCTGCTCCCTCTTCCAGTTTTGGGCTCTGACTACCCGGCAGTTTCATTTTAAACTTTCTTTGAGAGGCCACCATTTTATACAATTGTTTACAATTCCAAACCGTTTCACATGGGCTCGAAAAATCGTCGCCTCAATGTTGGCGCTCACGTAAGTCTCTCAAAACAAAATCGCTGCTTGTTTCCCCCCTTGCCCCTTCGTTACGCTTATATGTCCATTCGCATAAGAGGCGTCCCTCTTTGCGCTCCACTTTTCCCATGGGGGGGGATAGTTCGCTTTTAAAATGCTCCATTTATTTTGAACTCACGTTCATTGTTGGTCATTTTTCTGACCTCGCTCACAACATTCGATACTCCGCTCGATCTCCAGTGCTTGTCCCGGTCGAATCAGCTTGTGCCCGAGGGCCACACAGCGGCAGGACCGTCAGGGCAGAGGGAAGCCTCGATTCTCTGGCATCGAGCTGTCGAAGAGGCTACCCCTCAAAAGCTCTCTGGCCTGGAGCCTATCGCAAAAGCTCCATGGTGATGCCACTTGACGTAGCACCCCTCCATACTGCTGGTGTGCTAATCGCTCCCCCAAGGTTCGGGGAGAGCGACCGCCATCGCTAATCCACAAACCGGAAGCATCCAATGTTCATTTTTCTGTCACTAATGCGGACTCTTGCATTCCTAAAAATCACCATTTCCTCCATAACTGTATTAAATCTTATTGCAGCAGTTAACCATCACTAGAGCAACTCTTGTCAGTTCCATTCCCTGGAATGCATTTCAGCAGCTCAGTCTTGTAACTAATTTCAGCAGTTCCAGGAGAGAAGGAAAGTGATAGGCTTCTTCAAAACTGAATTTCACCTTTTTGTAGAGTATGCTCATTTGCTTGATCCTTAATTCACTGAACATGCCTCCTCAAAGAAGAGGAACTTTTTGGCAGTGTGAGGAAGTTCAACAAATGCTGAGATTTATTGAGTGCTGGGGCCTCACTGAGCAGCTTATGATCAGCACCCACTGGAGAACCACAGCATTTATGTTGCAGTTGCAAGGGACCTCCATGTGGGAGGCTATGAGCTCCTACACGAACAGTGCCGCTCCCCAGTGCCAGGTGGGAATCCAAGTCTGTTGAATCCATCCATAATCTGAAAGGACAAGAAGCATTTAAGCACACACATTTTCCACACCAGTTAAGACACTAGTTTTAAATATAGCTTGCCCTGAAGAACTTTAATTCATGGAAAACACTGGCTAGGCTAAATCAGTGCAGAAATGCACTAGAAATAATACACACTAAGTTTAAAAAAACAAACAAAAAGGAAAATATGATACCTTTGCCACCTCTGGACCCAGGCAAACAGTCTTCTTGATCACAAAGCACACTTCCATGGCTATTTCTTCCACTGCAGAAAGTCCAGCACCATACTGCTCTCTTTCTCTGTACGTATTGATATTGGCAAGATACCATATGGCAATAACTATGCTCTTGTCCACTGGAATAGTCTCATGCATGGTTGGCCTCTGTCACCGCGGGCATCCTTTTAAAGTTTACACAATCTTGGCATATGTTCCCGGGGTCATCCAGAATTTATAGAGCCATTGATCATCACCCCATTGTGCTGGCACGAAATTCTCCCACCAATCATTGCTCCTTGGGTACATCCAGAAATGGTGGAGTACCGACATGCTGCAAGGGCATACACCAGCACATCTGTGCTGCATGGGAAGCTGTGCTGTCTGGCAGTGCTGCTTGCCTTACTTGTGTTCTTGTTCTGGCCTTATGAGTGGCTTTGTATAAAGTTCTTCATCTCACCCGCATTCAACGAATGTAAATATACAGCAGATTTTGGAAGCTTCTCATCAAAAGAAGTACTGGATGCATTGTCGCCATCAAAAATCACTTGGGATCCATTTGGAGGAAGTGACATGTAGAGATTCTTTAAAGTGTTGCCAAGATGGCAACCAATCAGTAAGTGCAAATGAGAGAATCTCCAGGAGAAATGGTGAACCTATTTTCAAAAAAAGAGGCTCACAGCCAAACAGGCCAATCAGTGACCTTTTAGATTTTCCGTCACAGCACAGCTGTGCTAAGCTCAGTGCATTAGCACTAAAGCGCACATGCAAACACAAAACCACGTGAATTTGCATGGGGGGCAGAAAGTTGGCATTACTGTGCAGCTGCACAGAGTGCTTGAGTAAAATGCAACCCCCACCTCTGCCACCACCCATCACTACATCATGAGTGATGTCCCAACAACACTTAGGAAAAGTATGTTTTTCTGTTATTCATGCAGAATAAATACACCACAATTCAGAAAACAAAAATACTAGAGGAAAAAGAAGGGTGTGAAATGCTAGCACTGAATCTGAATCCAAGCTTCATGACTCAACTACAATGGAAATCTGGGGTAAGCTGTGCATGCAGAAAAGCCCAAAAACTAGATAGTGTTATTGGGGAAGCTGAGACTATCAACCGGCTCTATCAAGCTAGGGGAAGAAACACAATCATCCTGGGAAAAAATAAATATTTTCACTTGACACCTGAAATCCAGAAGGTTAGGCCCTAGGCAAACTGATGAAGGGAGAAACATCCACAGAGGAGTCTCCACAGAGAAGGCCTTGTCTCTCATGTTCTCTCAGAAGGGGGGGGCATACACAACAGGGGTTCTGCAGCAGTCCTCAACTGATGTGTCTGGTGGGGGGAGTGGTCCTTTAAACATCCTGATCCTATTTTGGATTGTATTCAAAAGACCCAGGACTTTGAATTGTCCCTGGAAGTGAAACAACATTCATCTCCCTCTAAATCACCTCAGTAAGTAACTATACTGCAACATTTTGCACTAACTGAAGCTTCCAAGCAGTTGTTAAAGGCTGCCCTGTAAGACTGCATTACAGTAATCTGACCTCGGGTATGTTCGGAAGACATATACATTGTGGCCAGAGGACCCTTCTCCTCCTCAAGGAAAGACCAAAGCTGTTGTACCAGTCAAAGCTGACTGAAAATGCTTCACGCCACTGAGGAGATATGAAAACAAAAGAAGAAGGGGAACCAGCGTACCTGGAATAGTACAAAGCACCAAAAACTGTTGGCTGGAATAAAAAAGTATATAAAAATAAAAGTTTTAATACCAAGTTCAATCTCACAATGACCATGTAACTAGATAAAGCCAAGGTATTCTTTCAGGAAACAACAATAGTGCAAAGAAGTAAAGTCCCGAAAGTCTCAATATGTCTCACTCCTGTTGTATTGTAATTCCATAGTCCAATCTGACACACATTCATCATGGACTCATTTTGTTTCTTAAAAATCCATATAATCTTGAAGCCATAGAGACGTGTAGTCTGGATGCAAGGTGCCGTTTTTTGAATAATTCTTTTTCAAAGCCAATAGGCTACAGTGGGACCCAATCTCATCATGATCCCTCGAGGTTGAAAAAAGTGGCTTATGTATGTCTTACTACTGAGATTTATATACTTTTTGATTCCAGCCAGCGGTTTTTGGTACTGAGGAGATATGGGCTTCCATTTTTAGGCTCAGGTCAAGTTAGGGTTACCAACCTCCATGTGGGGCCCAGAGATTTCCCAGAATGACAACTCCTCTCCAGACTATAGAGGTCAGTTCCCCTGGAGAAAATAGCAGCTCTGGAGGGTGGACTCTACACAAACTCTGCCCTCCTCCTCAGGTTCTACTGCCAAATATCCACAAATTTCCCAACCTGGAGCTGGCAACCCTATATGTAGTGTGCATAAGAGAATCTGATATCTTTTCTACACAGGCCTGCACAATTTGTGACCCACAGAAATAGCCCATAAAGCTGGTACTACACATATAAAATAGATAAATACAAAAGACAACATATACCACTAACCCAGTTACACCAGCGGCGGGGGAGATCCAGGAGTGCAACCCTCCCCTAAATTTTAGTGGAAAATAATACTTAGCCACTTTATGTATCTTGAATGTGCTATTCTTTAGAAACCGTTCCAGTCTTTAAACATCTTATAGAGAACCACAGGGTACTACTTGCACTGCTCTCCTTATCACCTTATACTGAGTTATCCTACTGGTTCACTTGGCTCCATATGATCCACCTTGAGTAGAAGGAGCTCCTCGAGGTCTTTTCTAGCACTGATATAACAGATTCTTTTTAAATTGGAAATGACAGGGATGCAAAATATGTACTTTACAACTGAGCTATGGATGATCCCTAAAGGCAAGCCCTGGTTTTGGTGGCCTTAAAACAGGTAGCAAAACTGAGAGCCTAACTGAACCCCTAGTGGGCCACCATACATTGCTGGTGGGCTGTGTTGGCCTTTAATGGTCCATACATTGTGCAGAGTACAGGCAAATTTCAGGTTAAAGAGTCATTCTAAAACTTTAGAAAGGGTCCGGGAAAAGAACTCCTGCAGGCATACTCTTTTCTTAAAATTTATAGAGCACAGATAGTGTACTGGGGTGGTGTAACAGCTGCTTAGCTTGCTACTGGCTACCAGCAGCCCTCCAGGGAAACGACTACCAGGAACTTTCCCAGTAAGTTCTAGGGCCAGCCCACTCCTGTAAGGTATGCAAACTGCTTTACAGTCCTCATGTTAAGTCTTACAAAAAGCCATTTAGAAGTATTAGCCCAATTAACAAACAGGTGATTGCAGCTTGCCTAAGGCTTTGAGCTTGGAGGTCTAAAGTCGGTTCTTCCAGGCTCAAGTCAGACACTCTCAATTCAGAAAGCCACGCTACTTCCCGTATTCTGGTTATTTGGTATACATTAGCATAAGAACTTAACAGAATGACCACCAGATGAAACTTACATCTGCAATCCGGGCCATATCTTCCAGGCAGACAGAACTCACACGAAGTCCCATTGAAGCCACCATAACATGTGCATTGCCCTGTGCCAGAATATCCTTCATCACAAGACCCACGGCTGTTACACGGAGCTTCTGGCCCTCCTGGGCAGGCTGGAAAGCAGTAAGCAGCAGCAAGTCAAACGTTTTCAAGCACTGACTCCAAGATGCAAATTTTATTTAGTGCAATAAATAGTTGGGCTAGGACAACCCATAGAAAAAAACTCATGCACTTAGTCTTCCCTGGAATAAGATCCCAGCTAGTATCAGTCCTTCGAGTACAGATCTGGAATTTTACGACCAGATTCTTGGTGCTTTCCCCCTTCCCTACTGTCTTTCTGTATTTTGAAATTAGACGATCACAGATTTATAATGCATGATTCAATCCCAAACCCAAACCAAGCCAATGTACCAGGGGGAACAGTGCAATGATACCTCTATACCACCTTCACCACTCTGGAGGAAAAAAAACAACCACACAACTATTGTCTGTTTCCTCTCCTAAGCCTAATCCACCTACCTAAACAAAAAAAGAGACTTGTGGCATCTTAAAGTCTAACTGATTTATTCAGGCAAAAAATTTAATGGACTACAGCCCACTTTGTAAAGTGTATTTGGGGTGGGCTTTAATCCATGAAAACTTCTCCATGATAAACTGTTCAGTCTGTAAGATGCCACAGGACTCCTGGTTCTTTGTGTTGCAACAGCCTACCATTATTAACCCTATGAAATTTGTTATCATGGGAACTGACTAACAGTGAATTTGAACAGCTTGAAGCATCTTCCCCGGTACCAGAGAATATCCACATAATGTGCTTAATCTACCTTGTACATGAGCTAGAGATGTCTTATAAAACCACATGTACTTCTGAGGCACACAGAAATGGTGTGTCTTTGGAATTCCTGAGTTCTCTATGGAAACAAATGATTCTGTAGAGAGGCATGAGATGAAGAAGAGGAGGAGGAGGAGATTGGATTTATACCCTGCCCTTTACTCGGAGTCTCAGAGCGTCTTACAAACTCCTATCCCTTCCCCTCCCCACAACAGACACCCTGTGAGATAGGTGGGGCTGATAGAGGTCTTTCCTTGAGAGAACAGGTCTGACAGAACTACGGCTTGCCCAAGGTCATCCAGCAACTGCAAGTGGAGGAGTGGGGAATCAAGCCCACTTCTCCCAGATTAGAGTTCGTGCACTTAACCACTACACCAAACTGGCTCTCATTTAACATTTTACTATGTTCTTTTGCTTCAACAATTGTTATCTTTGGAAATACAGTAGCTCTTCTTTATTAGAGGGTGGCAGCATTTCATGCAATGCTACACAAATCTTCCCAGAAGCAAAAGTTTAAGTTTGGAAAATCTCACCTTGACAGTCATACCCAAAGTAGCCCTTGCAGCACTGTGGTACCCTGACAAACACAGAGCAGTTCCTCTGACAGCCTTCCCGGAGTCTTCCGTAGCTATTGTAAGTACATGGGTATATCTGTTGTCCCTTGTGATTTTAAATTTGAATACAGAAAGAAAGAGAAAAACAAGAAAACACAAAAAAGGGGCATAGGAAATTAATGTCTTTAACACACCATAGCTCCATCTGCACAAATGCTCTGTGGTTTGTGACTGTCTGTCCATTCCAAGGAAAATCAAAATTCTCTGGATAATCATGTGTACAGGACATAGGCGTAAAAACTGGCCTAACTCCCTTGTGAATGACAGGTTTTCTAGAAGGCAGGTGAAGAGTCAAACCAGCATTAGAAATCATTCTCTCCCTAAATGGAATGACAGCGTTGTTCAGTTACATTTTGATAATGGGAATCTGCAGAGGAATTTTCAGCCCCCTCAGTAAACAGCCACTTCCAGAGTTCTTAGAAGACAACCAGTGGTGGTGCAAGTTAAAGCCTAAAAAAGTTTTGTAAAGCAGAAATGTCCTAGGTGACATCGCATTCAAGAGGATGAATATGTCAAAAAGGAGAGCGGTGAGGCCTCTCACTATTATTTCACTTCTGCTACAACAGGCATAGCAAAATGGAATCACAAAGCCAAGCCAGGATATATAAGGCAATTGTGGGGAGGAGAAACACAACACAGCAGCCAGAAGCAGGGGTAGGACTGCCAGCTCCAGGTTGGGAAACACCTGGAGATTTTGGAGGTGGAGCCTCAGAAGGGCAGGGTTTGGGGAGGGGAGGGACTTCCATGGGTTATAATGCCATAGAGTTCACCTTCCAAAGTGGCCATTTTCTCTGGGTGAATCGATCTCTGTCACCTGGACATCAGTTGTAATCCCATGAAGGGGCCACAGCCTGTCTCCACTTCCCACCCCTCCTGTTGGCCTCAATAACATCCAGCTCCCCAAGAAACAGAGGGAACCAATGACTGCCTCCATTTGGTGTCCCATGTGTGGCAATGAGGCGAACCCAATTCCATCTGTACAGGGAGGAGTGTGCTCCCAGTTTTCTGTTGTGTTGATTCAAAGTAATTTGTTCATACAATTTTGATTTCTTACAGCCACCTTGAACATACTAATGGAGAGGTGGTGTAAGGGCCATCAAGTCATAGCTGACTTATGGTGACCTCGTACGGTTTTCAAGGCAAGAGAGGTTCAGAGGTGGCAGGGCTGACCCTGCTTAGTTTCTGAGATCTGATGAGATCAGACTTGCCTGGGCCATCTATGTCAGGGCTCTAATGGAGAAACAGGATCTAAAATAAACCAGCACACACACACTCAGGACTTTTATGAGCCTAAGGACAGCAAAGTACTTGGTATGCAGGTAGTGCCTTGATATAGATGAATCCAAAGCATGAATCAAAATATCTAGCCTGAACCTCGCTTTCTTAATCAAGGACCATTCAAGGAACCCACTCAGGGGTCATTTCGTAGAAAAAGAGGTGCAGGAGCTCATTAGAATAACTTATTAGCATAACTTATTTGCATATGCCACACACCCTGACATCACCAGAAGTGTGTCAGAAGGTGACACACCCACCGCTCAGGCTCCACTGGACTGTTTTGGAATGCTAGCTATTGGAGGGGGGGAACGCGCAGATCTGCCCTCACAGAGGAGGGAGAGCTTGTACCTGAAGGCAGGCCGGGGGGTGGGCTCTGCGACTTACCTGGCTGCTTCTTGCTCCTTGTAGCCCGACTGAGGGCTGCTGGGAGCAGGGGGTGGGGCTTGTTGCATGTGCCCGCCCCCTGGGCTCCTTACTGCCGGAGCGCCACTCCTGTGCGCTCCCGCAGGAAATGACCCCTGAACCCACTACATGAATATGTATATTACTCTGATACTTGCTTATCCCTATGTGCTAATCTGTATACATTTTGGCTCTCTTTCTCTGAAACATTTTAGTATAGTTTACTGATTAAAATCATAGTCAGAAGTATACAGCTATTAATTACCTTTACTTTAGCCCCAGCAGGACACTTTGGAGTTCTGTAACAACTACCGCAATCTCCCTGGGAAAACATGAAAATGTATTTTAAATCAGGAGACTTTGAAATAAAGTGCTCTAATAAGCCTTTCTTAATTTATAATTACTAAAAGACATAGCTTAATAAAGTTTAGCAAAAATAGGGTCTAGGCACAGGACCACCTTCTTCCATATTATTCTGCCCACTCACTGGGATAAGAAAACTTTCTCTGTGGTAGCACTGCATGGTTTTTTTTTAGTTTTTTGGTACGCTGAACTGTTGTGTTAAATCTGCTAAACATCTAATTGTGTTGTACAACTGCTTGGTGGTTGTGGAAATTGGAGAAGATTAATTTGTTTAGCCACTTTGAGGAAATGATATTTGGAAAAATGAGATATAAATCCTATTGAACAGAACTGAACATTTCTAAGACGTCTGTGGCCCTGCTAGCTCATACTGATGAACTAACAAAGAAAGGATAAATCTTGATGCCTCAAACATCTAGATTAATACTTCACAACAAACAAATAAAAGATTCCCGTTTTTTACAAGGCAGCTCACAGAATAGCTGGTTTTCTTCATTTGTTTTCCCTCAGCCATTTTCTATTCCAAAGGAATTTTTGCTGATCTCTTCTTTTTTAATTGTTCTATAAATATTCTCTCTGTTATTATCCAATTATCCAGTAGGGTAATAGGTCTTGTTTTTACTTAATCCTTTTAGCAAATCCAAAATATAGAACACTGGTAAATGTGTATCCAATCGTCTTAGCAATAATGTCCAAGATCACTGAATAACAGATCATCTCTGTTATACTCTTGTAATCGACTCTTCCTCAGAGAAAGAAGAATTCAAATTTTGTTCCAGTGTTAAAACATGGCCATATTATCTGACTATTTTGGTAATAGTATTTTATAAATTTTTGACAATATACTTTTTAAAGATTTGCACAGCTGTGTAAATTGTGTCAGTGGGGCAACACTATCATAGAACAGCCAATCTACAAAACCTTCAGACTAATTTTTCCCAATCCCCATATTGTAAGCCTATATATATTGGGGCACCCACATGTGTAGGATGAACTAGAGTAATCTGAGGTTCAGAAAAATAACAAAAATTTACAGAAGGACTGACCGAAACATCGTGACTGATGAAAGTGTCACAGCGACCTCCAAGGTTAGGATCTGTTAATATGCAGTCAATCCCGTAAGCAACACCGCCATCAAACTCCAGATACCTTTGTACTATCTTACAGCTCCTATCATTGACATACAATTCACCCTGAAGGAGAAAGGTACATAAAGTTATCTCTCTTTCACAATCTCTTTCAGACCACTAAGAAAGAGAAAATAGGAAGCACAGATATAATGGCCACCCACCCATGGCTGGGTGGCTCAGACTAAGCAGGCTGAAATTAAACCCGGCGAAGACGGAGGTCCTGTGCTTGAGTCGGACCGGATCGGGATTAGGGTTTCCGCTTCCGACCTTCAACGGGGCACCTTTGGTGCCAGCTTCAGAGGTTAGGAGCCTGGGAGTGCTCCTGGACTCCACCTTAACGATGGAGGCCCAGGTGGCAGCCACTGCCAGATCAGCCTTCTACCATCTTCGGCTGGTACGGCAGTTGGTTCCTTTCCTTGACCCCAACGACCTAGCTACAGTGATCCATGCGACGGTCACCTCAAGGCTAGACTACTGTAACGCTCTACATGGGGCTACCTCTGTTGCAAATCTGGAAGCTGCAGCTGGTGCAGAATGCTGTGGCCAGGTTGTTGGCAGGCATCCCTAGGTGGGAGCATACCCGACCTGTGCTGAAAGCACTGCACTGGCTGCCTATAGCATACCGGATTTGCTTCAAAGTGCTGGTACTTACCTTTAAAGCCCTACATGGCCAGGATCCGGCATACCTGAGGGACCACATTTCCCCACATATTCCCCAAAGAGCACTTCGGTCGGGGTCACAACACCGGCTGGTGACCCCGGGCCCTAAGGAGGCCAGGCTTGCGGCAACAAGGGCCAGGTCCTTTTCAGTGGTGGCTCCTATCTGGTGGAATGAGCTCCCGGAGGAGATCAGGGCCCTGCGGGACCTTGTGCAGTTCCGCAGGGCCTGTAAGACGGAGCTCTTCCGCCAGGCTTTTGAGTAGGAGCCGCCACTGTCACCACTGTCACTACCACCACAGTGCCATTACAAAGCGATGCCGCTGGTGGGGCAGGTAACATCTGTTTATGGCCCTAGCCTGCCCCCTCTGTTATACAAGCTGTTGGGAGTTTTCTAGTCTTGCATCCGTTGGAATTGAATTTTAACTGTTTTATCTTTTTATATTGTATGCACTATGTGCCTTATGTAAGCCGCCCTGAGCCCGTTCGTGGGGAGGGCGGGGTATAAATGCAATCAAATAAATAAATAAATAAATAAATATATCCTACTACTCTGCTCCAATGTTCCCTCTAAGCTGAGTTAATGTGAGCTAGCTCACAGTTTTTTCGCCTCCAGCTCACACCTTTTTGTCTTAGCTCAGGAAGGATGGCTTCAGAGCAAACTAATTTACGCAGTGGCTGAATCGCCTGCTCACAACTTTAATGCCGGTAGCTCACAAAGTAGAATCTTTGCTCACAGGACTCCATAGCTTAGAGCTTTTCCCCAGCCTGAGAAGACTTCCTCAAACCTGTGGCTCTTCTTTTGGTTGCAAGCAAAATGTGGACACCCCTTCCTAGTGCAAGACAGATGGGAAGGCATGGGCAATGCTGCATCTGGATCCACCTCAGTCTGCACATGCAGTTCTTGATCCATTGAAGAGAACTGCACATGCACACAACTGGTGGAAGGATTATTATATCAGTAGGCTCCGTGGACACAGACAGCATATGAAGATCCTAACCAGGCCATGAGTTTCATATGTGGGAGCCTGTACAGACATCCCTTATCAAATTAGATGAAAAAGGACATTAGCACAACTGAAAATATACAATTTAGGGTTACTGATAACAGACACATACATTAATAATGCTTAAAGTTTCTGCAGCCCCAACAGTGGTTTCATTAGGACGAGGCACACACAAGGTCTTACAATAAGTAATCCTGCATGATGGTTTTAGTGCACTGGCATAATTCTGCACATGGTTCACACTTGGATTATGAGCAGCTATTCACCTCCATCACTTCCCCTTTCTGCAAAGCATTTCTAAGAAGCCCTTTAGTCCCATAGACAAAACTATTCTTGCCATTCCCTTACCACATCGGCCGCTCTAGCACCCCAACTGCCCCTCCAATATACCTGATGTAAAGATTTGACTTTATTTTGGTTCTACACTGAGCCACACTGCCTTTAAAGCCACCGGTTGCATGCCCCTCAGCCTATGTGCAAATCAACAGGCTGGAGGAACTGTATTACATTACAATGCAGACTTTCCTTGTTTTCATTTAAACCTTGGCATTTACTTAACAGAATAACCCCCCCCCCCCCAAGGATTAGGTAATTTACTAATGTGAAATACTTACAATTTCATTATTGTAATTACTGCATGTCACACTGATATCAAAACCTTGAACTGTTGTCAGTGAACTGGAGGTAGGGAGGGCAGAGGCTGGGATCTGTGGAAGAGTTGGGCAGAAGTTAGACAGTAGAGAGATTATAATGCTGTACCATTAGAGTTGCCAACCTGGGGCCTGCAGATCATCCAGTATTACAACTGATCTCTAAGGAAGGGCACGAACAGAACCACAAAGCACAATTTGTCATGAATTTTGCCGTTTGCACTTAAGGAACAGAAGTTTGAGTTGGATTTACCATCACTAACTTCCATGAACTTTTATAGCAGTTCATGCAGTTCATGGCGGTTCGTGGATGGAGCAGAAAGCAGGCATTTAAAGGGACTCCAAGTCTCTTTAAACCCCTGCTTTTTGGTCCCCAAGAAAGCCGCAAAAACAGCTGAGCGGTGGAGAGGTGCTGTTTCAGGCTCTTTTCTGCAGTCCCTTTAAACTCTAAAGAGACTGCAGAAGACAGCCCACAACAGCTGCAAGGTGGGGAACGCCTCCCCCATGCAGCTGTTTTTCACACTGTTTTGCACTGAACAAGACAGCCTGAAACAGCTGTGCAGCAGGGAACATCTCCCTGCCCATGCAACTGTTTCTCGGGCTTTCTGTGGTCCCTTTCAACGGGGCTTGCAGGGCGACAAACCACAGACTGGTTCAGTTCATGGAGTTTCCTGGTTTGGTTCGTGGTTCATAAATCAAACCAAACTGCATTTTCCTGGTTTCTGAACCAAACTGCATTTTCCCAGTTCCTGCCCATCCTTACTGATCTCCAGACAGCAGAGATCAGTTCCCCTGGAAAAAATGGCTGCTTTGGAGAGCGGGCTTTATGGCATTAAACCCTGCTGAGGTCCCCCCCAGGCTCCACTTCCAAATCTCCAGGAATTTCCCAACCCAGAGCTGGCAACCCAACATAACCAGGAAACATTTACACAGGAAGTGCTTACCTTGACATCTCTTATAATGTGGAATTTCAGATATTGCTGCAATTTTTCCTTGTTTGACATTTTAAATAGAAAATCCTGCTGTTCTGCAGGCAGAGCTCTGACCACTTTGTCAGTGGGCCAGAACAAAGTGATTGGTTGGTGAGCGGGATCATTGAGGAAGCCAAACAACCCAGCACTCTGAAATAAAAGTAAAATGTCTCCATCAAGTTAAAAAGGTAAAGCCAGTCGAATCCGACTCTAGGGTTGCGGTACTCATCTCCGTTTCCAAGCCGAAGAGCCAGCGCTGTCCGAAGACGTTTCTGTGGTCATGTGGCCGGCATGACTAAACACCAAGGCGCACGGAACGCTGGTACCTTCCCACTGAAGTGGTACCTATTTATCTACTTGCAATTTCTTGCTTTCGAACTGCTAGGTGGGCAGGAGCTGGAACTAGAAACGGGAGCTCACTCCGTCATGCAGCACCTGGGTCTCGAACTGCTGAACTACCGACCTTCCACAGCCTGCAGTTCAGCGTCTTAACCACTTGAGCCACCGCAGCTCCATCAAGTTAGCTACAAGTTAATCTACTGAACATGGGCACCACCACACCACAGGCTTAAAATGATTTAGACACTATTATGGCAACAGACATTTTGACAAGTTACAAAATCCTGTAGCCTTACCTCTAGCAAGTTGGCAAACATGATGTAGCCATTTTTTGCTGCAACCATTTTGAGACTTTCCTAGGAAGACGAAACTTTTGTTAAGTTCATTTGCTTGAACAGTTTTTAATGAGCTAGCGATCCAAAAGTAAAATTTACCTACCCTCTCAGTTGCCGGATTAGATGTTGCGAAGTCTTGAATCCTCTGTGGAATCAGCCAACTGTCTATGATATGTATGATTCCATTTGTGCTTATTATATCACTGGTTAAAATCTTAGCTTTGCTGTTTAAAAATATTGAATTCTAAAAAGGCAAACAGAGGCAAACAGAAGTTTTTCATGGAACCAAGAAATAAGGCTGACTAGACTGATCCACACCTTGAAACAGACGTAGGGGCTGTGGGTCAGTGTGAGAGCATCTGCTTGGCATGCAGAAGGTCCCAGGTTCAATCCTTGGCATCTCCAGCTAAAAGGTCCAGGTCATAGGTGATGTGGAAGACCTCTGCCTGAGACCCTGGAGAACCACTGCCAGTCTGAGTAGACAATAGTGACTTTGAGGGACCAGTGGTCTGATTCATATGTTCATATAAGAATGAAGCTGACAGTAGCGCTGACCAAGTTCAGAGAAAAGGTGGCCTCGCCCCCATGTTTTTGTAGGCTCCTGGATAGTTGCGGCTTGCACCAGAGGGTTGCTTTCAAAATAATAAATAAGTAAAAAACTGTCTCTTTGTCTGACTACTCTAATTTAAAATAAATAAATAGATTAAAACAAATTAGATGGGCAGGAAAACCTGGTGAGCACCTTGAGGCATCTACTGATGAAGAGAGCCAATTGCTTATCAGTGACACAGCTAAGGGATTGGAGAGGGCACTCCCTTGGTACTAAGTTGCTATACACTGAACTCCAGTTGCTGTCTGGCAAAAGGGGATGTTGATGATAGGAATGTGCAGTCCTATCATTTGAAACTTGGGGTCTCCCCCTCCCATCGGACTTTTCCTCCCCGGCATCTGATCGTGCCGGGGAGCGATGCGCCGTGGGATCCCGCCGCGGCGTCTCAAGTTTGGAGCGGCTCTGAGTAGCCACGTTTCAGCCGTCCCGTGTGGCAGGGGCCAATATTAGGCAAAAGCAGCTGCTGCCAGAGCAGGCCCATAGCTACAGTGGGGCATCTCAGGGCTAGGCCCCCTGACTTGCTGGCAAGGCCCCTGACTCCAGCCCAGGGCATCATGGCCTTCTCCCCCGGATTAATTTGATTAGCCAGTACCCCCTAAGAAATTTAAATGCCCCCTGACATAAAAAATCCTGGCTACAGGCCTGTGCCAGAGTAAGTACTGCTGCTCTTTAAAAAGTTGTACTAATTCTTCCTCTCCTTTGGAGAGTAGGGCAAGGCTGAGGTATAAATTCCTGGTAGTCTCTTAATCCAAACTGGCTGCTCTGGTAAGGGAGTTTACTCCCTTCTTTGGGATGGCAAAACAGACACCGGTGAACTGAATATGAACTGTATATGTGTTCCACCCTTAGGAGTGTTACATCTGAACCAGCCTTTGGAGTTATTGTGTAGAACTTTATCATTAGGTCCTAAATCATTACTCTGAACAGTCAGCAAAAGTTCCCAGTTTACTTTCCCCAAACCATTTACAATTCTATATGCTCTCTCTTTTCCAAAAAGAGAAGTGGAAGTGAAACTGTACAATTAGCTACCTGTGAGATTGTGATCTTGAGTTGTTCTCCCTGGAGAGTTGTCACATTTTTGTCTGCTGTCAGATCGTCATAGAGTAATGCACTACAAGCTACTATATGGTTGCGAAGGATCTGGGGCATCATGCCATTTTTGACCCAGTCGGAAATCTTGGAAGAGAAAAGTGAATGACAAGTACAAGAGGGGGAAAATCTGCATAGAATGTAACCAAAATAATTTAGCATGATTTTGCTCTTTTGTTTACTTACTTTCACTTGAACTGCTTTTCTGTGGGGTACAAAAACAGTGAAAGGGCCGGCCCCTTCCATATCTTGGATGCCAGCATCCTGCAACAAAGCAATGCCAACTCTCAGTTTCAAGCAGAGCAGTGGCACTTGAAAGACCACCACCGTCTTATTTTGGGTTGCCAACTCTGGGTTTGCAGATTCCTGCCGATTTGGGGACGGAGCTTGGGAACAGAAGGGTTTGGAGATGGGAAGGACCTCAGGACCCAATGCAGCCCACCTGCCGAAGCAGCCGTTTTCTTCAGGGGAACCAAGCTCTCTTGTCTGGAGATCAGGTGTAATTCTGGGAGGTCCCTAGGCCCCACCCAGAGGCTGGCAACCCTACATGATGAAAGGCTGTTCCCTTAAAAAACGTTTTCAACTTTTTTGGCAATCTTCAAGAACATTGCGGAAAACAAAAACCCTCCCATCAAAAGCCTATGGCTTGGTTCAAACATCACATAGCCAATTAAATTAACTATAATAAGCATGAATATCCAAATGTGGACCACTCTACTAACTATGTTTAGTTGGTGGAGGAAAGTGCTGTCAAGTCGCAGCTGACTTATGGCGACCCTGGAGGGTTTTCAAGGCAAGAGACATTTAGAGGTGGTTTGCCATTGGCTGCCTCTGCATAGCAACCCTGGACTTCCTTGGTGGTCTCCCATCCAAACACTAACCAGGGCCAACCCTGCTTAGCTTCTGAGACCTTATGAGATCAGGTTAGCCTGGACCACCTATGTCAGGGCATGTTTAGTAAGGGCAGGGCTTCTAGTGTCCTGGCCCCACTGCTGGACCTCCTGATGGCACCTGGTATTTTTGGCCACTGTGTGACACAGAGTGTTGGACTGGATGGGCCATTGGCCTGATCCAACATTGGCTTCTCTTATGTACATCAAACCAGGTACAAAAAACATAGTCTTGTCTGAAGCCAGTTTGTTAACTACAATAACTTTCTTACCTGAAGATACATTTTAAATCGACTCATGTTGAAATCTCTTGAAAGTTCCTTCAATGACAACAAAAAGAATTATGAGAATCTGTGACATCAAATGTAGAAACAGTCACACACAGGATAGCATGAAACAGGGAGGGCTAGAATATGCGCAGGGCTACATGTGCCTCATAACTTTGACAATGACTGGGACCCTGCAGAACTTTCTGAAGGAGGCCCAACCTGCCCTGAAGCTTGATGCGTTTGTGTATGGGGGCAAAGGAGGAAACGTGACTAGGCGGCTGCTAATGGGCTTTCCCACTCTTCAAGATAAATTCATTAATTCTACTGCTTTATCCTGGCCTCTGCCTCTCCTCCCTAGAGAGATTACTCCTGTTGGGTGTCGAGGTTCGCACGGTGCTAGCCCACTGCAGGTTGCGAGTGGTGTGAGAGTATCAAAGAAGACGCAAGTCTTATAGGCTTGGTATAAAACTATATACAATTTATTTACACGAGCCTCCACCAATATATTGCACAGAACGACAAAATGCTCACGCAGACACCGGGTTTCCATCAGGAAGGGATAGTACACCGTACAGCATCATACTTATACTAGCATTGTCCAATCAGGACCCAATGCTGAGTCACTGTTAATTAGCTCTGCCCTCAACTAGACAGAACCAGTTGGAGCCAGCTCTACTGACACTCTGAGCTGCCAGCTCCTGTCAAACAGATTGATATGATCTACAGCCAGACTTATAGAACACATGGATGTTGACATTGGGTACAGACAGATGGCAATGGCTGAAAGAAAGAAAAAAAAAAGGGGAAAGCATAGGAGGGGGACAGTGATGGAGCCCTCCCACTGGAAGCCCCCTGGGGGTTCTGTTCTGATGAGGTTTCCCTTGTAATAAGACAAAATATCATTTTTTTTTTAAATGCCTATGCAGTGCAGGCAACACCATAAAGATGGCCACTTTAGGCCAAATTGCATGCTTGGTGGCAGAGCAAGGTTGTTGCTAACCGCCTGTAAATCAGTGGAGTCGGGCGATTTGCATGGGTAGGCAGAACTGCTGAGAGCTATCATGGAACAAGACACCATCCAGACCACCCCCCCCCGCCCCCGATCCTGAGTCAAATAAAATATCATAACCAAACAGATCCCTTGGCTTAGCATAAATATAATAATAATTGTTATTAGGTAATAAAAACTCTAAAGGAGAAGGGACAGGATTACTGAAGAAAAGATTTTCATAAACTTTTGATTTATACTGTGCGGATTGCAACAGGATATGGAGCAAATAGGGGGAAAAATACGAGCAAGCAGAATCAGAAAGGCTCCCCAGCCAAGGGACCCAGCCAGAATACTAAAGTTCACTATAAATTAAATACAGACAAGATACAAATTAGTTGGGAATACGCCCTCTTGAATGAAGTGACACATCGATGTCTCTCAAAAAGTACTCAACTGAAAAAAATACTTCAAATATTTCTCCTTACCCGAAACAAAAGAAGTAAATTCACAACAACATGAAGGAAAATTGGGGAGACAGAAATGGACTCATGAGGAACTCATAGAGGAGGGATTCTTGGTTGTAGTGGCATCCTCCTGCTGCTCCACTTGCTTGGCCTCCCCACAGAGATAGAGGGGGGCAGTGGGGCAACACTGGCTCCCCCTCATCATCACATCTTTTTAGCCAAGCTGATCCTGCCAAAAATGCCCTTCTTTCCCATCTATTACAGATTCTGGAATCTCCTCAGTTTTCTTTATATCAACACCTGATGATTCCCCTGACATTATCTACTCAATTTGCACAGCCTGTGCCTCTCAACACATCTCTGTAGACAAGTGTTAATTTTGTGATTCTACATTTACACACATATATGTCTACAAATACAGAATATACTTCTTACATCTGATGAAGTAGGCTGGGCTCTGATTCACAAAAACTTCACGTCACAATAAGCTTTATTAAGTATAACAGTAAGAAATCTACCTCAGTTCACCTTTGTGTGTGTGTAAGTGCCATCGAGTCACAGCTGACTTTATGGTGACCCCGCAGGGTTTTCAAGACAAAAGGCCAACAGAGGTGGTTTGTCATTGCCTTCTCTAACTTAAAAAAACGGGGCAAAAATAGGGTACCGATTATATAGTGGTGATGAACGAGAAGCACTGGGATTGATTTTAATGATGTCTCTTTTCAAAAAATTAATTTGTTTGTCATATAACACGAAACTTAATGCCTGCAATAGCAAAGCTGGGTTTACAAAAGTCCAAGTTCTGGATGACCCATCCACATTGCATCCATTTTCCCAGAGTTTGTCTCTGCAGCAACAACTTCCTCCCCTGCCGTATTCTATGGGATAAGTGGGCTGAGGAGAGGCTATCCCCCTACTATCCACGGCTTCTTTCCTCCAAATCCCACCCCCAATGACCTGGGGAGATCCACACATCATTGGATATTGTGATATCATTGACTAGGATATCACAGTATGTATCCAATAAAGTATGAATCCTGTCCGGGGGGTTTAGTTCAGCTCCTGAACACAGCTTGACTGACGGACCATTAATAAAGCAACGTTTTACCTGGATGATGCTGCCTCTGCAAGTAAATCCATCCCCAATGTAACTGGGTTTACATGCACAGCTCCTTTCTGTCCCTTCGGTATCATTGCAGATCGCATTTTCCCCACAGCCGCCATTATTCTGTCAGGAAGGCAACAACGTGAAATAAAATCTTGCTTCCATTTTACTGCAACTTTAAAACAGTGAATGAATGTGGGTACAAACTTGCCAAACACAAGTGCTTTTCGGTTTCCACTAAAGCACACACGACCTGCTTGTTCAGTCATCCTCAAGCAGCATGGAGAGCCAACCTGCAGTAGCTTGCAAAACTGCAACGTCTCAAATCCTCTTTGGCACTGCAAGGAGCCACCCCCCACAAGTGCTCAAGACCCAAGCTATGAATGGGAGCCTTGCATGGGATCTCCTACAGCAAACTGTCAATTCCAGCCATGTGAGGGCCTGATTTGGATCAGAGCCTTTGCACAAGAGAAAGGGGAATTTAACTCCCCACCCACATAGTTTTCATGATCTGGCCCTCCCCCACCACTAACCATGGGCAAAAATCAGGAGGCGTGGGTGTGTTAAATTGTAAAAATTGTATGAGGGGAAAGGTTAAATCCTTCTGACCCCACGTTGGGATTTTAATCCCGATTGGGACTCTGTTCACAGATTTCCCCCAGTCATTTTGTCTAGCTTGGTCCCAAACAAAGTAGTTCAGCAGAATTTCAGAGGAAGTACTGAAACTTTGCCCTCCACTTTATGGTCGGATAGATGCTAGCTGCTATATTCAGCTGGATATTTCTGAGGCTCTTTGCAGGAGTCTCCTCTGTGTATTCGGCCTGTGCTGCCTTGAAGGCCCTAAGGTCACCAACCTCCAGGCAGGGTCTGGGGAATCTCCCAAAAATACAGTGGATCACCACACAACATAGATGGTCCCTTGAAGCAAATGGCAGATCTGGAGGGTGGATTTTATGGTGCTATAACCCACTAAGGTCCCTTCCTTTGCCAAACTCCGCCCCAGGCTCCATCTCCAAATCTCCAGGAATTTCCCAGCCTGAAGATGGCAACCCTAGTACTGGGTGGAACGGTGGGATAAAATGTTTTAAATAAACTAAATAAATAAATATGCCACTCAGGCAACAACATTCCAGACAGACCTCACCATTTTCAATGGCAGCTGGGGAGATAGTTCCATTTTCCATGCAATACCATATTGCTGCTTAATTGCTGGGCAAAGCATTAAGCTTCTTAAGAACTGCAACCCAAATGTACAGCAACTGTGCATTTGGCTGTGCTATGAACCAATCAGCCTTTCAAGGCAGGGGCCAGACAAAAAGACAAAAAGATAGAAACATCAGGCCAAAGTGCTAAGAATAGGCCTTCATACAGGCAATTTTTGAAAGCCCTCTTCATGACAACTGTAGAGGCTGCTGAGCCGTAGACTTATTGCCCTTTTAAATTCCCTTCTAGAACTTGGCTGCCAAAGGCAAAGCAGAAAAAGGTCAAGGCTGGCTGACTAACCAGCATGAGGTACAGTAACTAAATCTGGAAATGCAGCCTGAAGATTATGGCTGAAGGTCACAAGATCTGGATTCGTGTGGAGTTTATGCCGGTGGATCTAGGTGGGCTACCCAGGATGGGGAGAACTGGGTTGTGTTAAAGCTCTTTGCAGTCCCCTCACAGGGACTGGTTGCCTGATATGAATACAAGAAGTGCTATGAAAACATGCCATAACATCTGTTTCAACAGTGTTATGGTTACTGAAGTAGGAAGAAAGTTGGCAGAGAGAGCCCTCCACAAAGAAACCAAGGAACATTCTCTTTCTCACTGTTTTTTTAATCTTAAGACTTTCATGAAAGTCTTGAAAGGGGGATTCAAATGTCAAGCAGATCAAAACCTTCTGTTGCACAAATCTGGACTGGAAGTACAATTTACTGAAAAAAGCTTTGGATAGGCTGGCGCTCAACTGTTCCCCTGTTTGCCAATTTCTTCCTACAACTCCCTCATTACAGC